GTGCCTGGCCAGGGGGAGGCGGCAGGGAGGGGTTTTGGGGGTCTCTTACCTTCCAGATGAGGGGGGCCCACACTCCCTGGGGTGAGGACCTGTCCCCGTCCCTGTCAGGGCTGGCCCCGGTGCAGTCCTCGTAGAAGAGGTGGAGGTAGGAGCGGACCCCGTACCACTTCCCCTCTGCCACGCTGGGCCCGTGGCCGCAGCTGCAATCCAGCTGACGGGCGGGCATCGGGCCTGGGGGGCACAGGGGGGCTGGGCCAGGCCGTGGAAAGGGCGATGAGACCCCAGGACCCACAGCCGCTCCCCTCCTCCCTCCTGCAGCCGCAGCACCCATGGGGCCGAGCTGGCTCCAGCCCCCACCCCAGGGTGCAGGGCAGGGGACAGGGCACCGGTGCTGGATGCACCCCCATGCAGGGGCCGTTGCCTGTTTTGGGGAGCACCAAAAGGGATCCCAAGAGCTGCCCCCCACCCACAGGGCTCTGTCTTGGCCACCAGGACCCAGCTGGGACAGCGAGGCTGAGGCCACGTCCTCGGGGTGACCAAGAGCATCGCTGCCCGTATCCCAGTGGGGCTGCCACCCGGGACAGAGGAAGGGAAACCCCCTGCACCGTGGGGACCTGCCCGTCCTGGACCAGATCCAGACCCGGCACAGCCCCAGCACGGCCCCGGCCACCGTGCTGGCAGGATCAGGCCCAACATCAGGCCATCGGCAGCCACCCAATCGCCAGCGATGGGGAAGGAGGGGCGGTGGCAGGGAGGGATGCGGCCACCTTTGGGGTGGCCGAGGGGCCGCTGCCTTGCCGGGGACATGGCCACCACATTGTGGGGACGGGGCCACCATGTCCCCTCCCCGCCGGGGGAATTTCCAGGGCGGCCCCGCAGCCTGCGGGTGCGGGTGTGCGTGTGTGTGCGTGTGTAAATGTCAGCCCGGAGGAGGGCGAGTGGGGGGGACCGGGACCCTTTCGGTGCCGGCTGTGGCGCTGAACAAAGCTCTGTGCTGGAGAGGCCTCGCGGGGGGAA